ATCCTTTTAGAAACCATCTGATGACATAAACGAGTCAACTTTCATGGACAATTTCCAAACCTTTACAGAACTGTGCTAGGTAGTTATAGTCTTCTAATAAACCCAGTTGCACTGAAGTAGCACAGAGACCTTGGTGAGTGATGCCTCAAAATTACATATCAGATATGCAGCAGATTGGAATTGAGACTAGACTTGTCTGATAACACAGCCTATTCTTCTAAGATGCTTTCTTCCAGCTATTCTCATTAATAAAACAGTATGTATGATTTTAAGTGTAATGTAGTCTAAATGTATCTCTTTGAGTGCTTATATAACAAGCGGCAATCTAACTTAATTAGATGAATGAAGGTCTAATTTATGAAAGTATTTTTTAACAAATAGATGATTCTCAGCTAATCATAGGGTTATGGATTATATCTACCTGTCCCCTAAAGCCTCATACACTCATAGGTGGGGCTTCGGAGAATGAGTGGATCATGGGCTTGTGATAACTGGATTAGTCCGCTAATTGGTTCTGGGTCTGGATGATTGAAAGACCCAACCTGTGTGTGAGTGGCACCAACCAAATGGCTTTCAGCCTAAATGGAATGAAAAAGAAGGGAAGGCTTACTGCTTTGCTGCTTTGTGCCTTCCCTGACCCAAAATGTTTCTCTTCCATGAGGCCCCTCTGCCATGCTGCCCTGCCTTGGAACCAGCTGACTATGGACTGAAACCCCTAAAAACTGTGACTCTGGGCTGGAATTTGTTTTCCTTGAGGACTTGAAGTACTTTGCTCTATACTCTTCTTGATTTGATGGTTTGTGAAGAGAAATCTGCTGTTATTCTGATAGGTTTTCCTTTAAAATGTGATCTGTTTCTTCTCTCAAGAAGCTTTTAGTATATTGTTATTGTGCTGGGTTTCTGGGGTCTTGATTATTATATTCTGCGTGTGTTTTTAATTGAATTGATGTTATTTGAAGTTCTATATGCTTCGGTTACTGAGTGTCAGATTGTTTCCCCATATTTGGGAAGTTTCTGCTATTACTTCTGCCCATATTCTTTTTATATCACTTGTATTGACTCCTTCTTTCTCATTGATGCCTATTAGTCTCACATTGTTCATCTTTGCTTCATCGTTCAGACATTGAATTATTTTTTCCTGCATCCTCATTGTTTTTAAGAGCTCTTTTCTTGCCTTTTCACTAGCTGCAATGGTGTCTACAAGATCTGAAACTATCTTCATTCAAACAGTTTTGCAAGCTTGTGATCGAGATTTTAAGTTCCTCTATATCTCTTTGACTCTCTTTCATGTGGTCTATTTCTTTCCTGTATTGCTCATTCAAGGATTCTATTGTTTTTTCTATTCTCTATTTTTATCAGTGTCTTCTTTAGAAGCAGTTATTAATTCTTTCATTATAGTTATCCTTTCTTTTTTTACCTCAGAGCTTATTTCTGGTCTGATTTCCTCTATATGTTTCTGCAGTTGTTTCTATACTTCCCACACAATTAATTCAGAGATTTCAGCTCTGTGATTCCCAATTTCTTCTATGCTAATGTCTCCTGCATTTGTTCTGGATGGGCTCGGGGTCTGAGACTGCATTTTGCCCCTTCTGTTTGTCATTTTGTATAGCACTGTATTCTGACCTTTGGTGGGGAGCCTTGGTGTGGTACTAACCTCAGCTCCTACCAATATTATTACCCAAAAGAGATTATGTGGTTAAGTTGCAGTTTTATATTTACAGTACTACAATTAGTATCACTAATACTGGGTAGTGAGTGTATCACTTAAGAAACTTTTGTAATTCATGGGTTTAAAACTGTGACTCAAAGAAATACCATCTCTTCTTTTAACTTGTGGGTGCTGGTATTTTGTTCCAACAATAAGAAATTAAGATACACAACATTCCAGCTTTAGTCCATAGCAAGCCACCAACTGTTCAACTGCAAACTACAGGAGATAACCATCAAGCAGTCTTTGTATTTCATCTCTGTTTTATGTGTTTCTTTTTTCATTAATTTTTTCCCTGTATTTTAGGGAAGGGTCTACAGACTTTTCAGGGTGTCACTACTAGATCAGACTCGTAGTGATCTACCTGTTTGTTTATAGCCTCCCAAGTTCTGGGATTACAGGGCCAGAGCCAGCACAGCAGGCCTGGGTATGGAACCCTCAGCCCCTATGCCTGCTTGCAAGGACTTTAATCCTCTGAGCAATTTGGGTGTGTTTCAATTTGCTGCCCATGAAATGCTACCTTACCAATTTTAACAGCAGTGTTCTTTGAACCTGTTTCTGGTTCTTTCTTTCTCTTTCTTTCTTTCTTTCTTTCTTTCTTTCTTTCTTTCTTTCTTTCTATTTTTTGGCAGAAATGGGGATTGAACTCAGGTCCTTGCTCTTGCCAGAGAAGCACTTATTCTGCTGATCCATCTTCCCCGCCCCAAGTTTCTGGTTCTGAGGTCTACGCAATTAGACCTCAGAATCATTCTTTGTTCAAACTCTGCTAAATTTAATTCATCTAAAGTTTTTTATTTTTAATAATGAGTTTTATTTATTTATTTATTTATTTATTTTTACTTTTTTTTTTGATGGTACCAGGGATCAAACTTGGGATCTTGTGCTTGCCAGACAGGCACTTATGCCACTGAACTAAATCTCTGTCCCTTATTTTTATTCTTTTTGACACAAAGTCTCACTATGCAATTCAGGCTACTCTTGAAATGACTGTGTAGCCCAGGCTGATCACAAGCTCATAAGGATCCTCCTGCTTCAGCTTCAAAAGTGCTGGGATTACAGGCATGTACCACCATGCTCAACCTAATAATGAGTTTTAAACTTTGAGAGAGAATCCAGAGATCATTTGCCTTCTTTTAAGATTATTATAAGATACGATTTTATTTGAGTTTTTAGAGCTGTATATCAATATAGGTATATATCTCTAAAAGCAATTATGTGGTTTTATAATAAAAATGTCCAAAACCTTCAATAATATATGCACAACACCTAAACTCTTCTTGTCTTCAATAACTCACCACCTTTATCAGGCTAGGAGAATATATAGGAGTTTGGGGTCAAAGCTAAAGGCAGTAACCATTTGTCTGGTCTATTTTATCTCAGTGATATATACAATGGTTTGGTTCATTTGTCACAGTTAAATTTGTTAATAACAATGCCACTTTCTAAAGATCTGTTTTTTAAGTGTGAATGGCCCCAAAGAGAGTCCAAGGATATTCCTGAAGCTGAAATAAGGAACCTATCCTACTGTACCTACAGAATATATTTGGAGGTACACTGACTCATGTTGCAGAAAAAGAATTTTCAGAATTAATCAGAAAGATCCACAGCAAGGGTTTTTTTAGGCAATATGAGGATGGACCCTCATGAGGGAGAGGCACTTGTTTTCTGGAGCTAGGATAACCTATATTTTTTTCTTGAGGGGATGAAACCCCATGAAAAAGTGGCCCATCCCCCAGAAGGATACTAGTCCATTTTTACCAATCTCTTATTTCTTCTGCCCTTCTGTTATCAAGGGTTATGGTGTGCTAGGACAAGTTCTCAGGTTCTTCTGAGTGACAAATAGAACAGGACCACAAGAGAACAGTGGCAAAGTTCATTAAAGCAAAAATATACCCAGAGTAAAAGGATCACACAGGTGAAAGGAAAAGAGCATGAGCTCAGAAGGTGTAGGTGTAGGGTGTCCAGCCTGCTTTAAGGTGTGTCTTATTGGGGTCACCCAGAGCTGTAAGGTGCTGTCTTGTCTGCTGGAGCTACTGTTATTTTCCACAATTCATTCTGCCTTAATTGCATGTGTAAGATGTCATCCATATGCATGAACTTTCAAGGAGCTCCAAAGAGCTTCTCTGGGGTCCATAAGGAGTTGGTAGAAGGAGTTGGTAGATTCTGAGGTAGGCTTGAAGGTTGGCCTTGTGGCATTACCCAGGTTTCAGTGACTGGAGGGAAGCTGTCTCTTAGTTCCATTACTACCTCATGGACATTTGTAAAAAGTGGATTTCAAGGTTGAAGAAAAGAACATTTGCACTCATGATCCTGAGTTTTAGCTTCAAGTTTAGTTGTTTCACCTATCACCTGCTTATTTCTAATGTATTTAAATATTCACCCTGAAAGGTAGATTGCTTTGGAACTAATTTGTGCCTACTATGTATATAACTTCTGAGGTCATTCTAAGAGTATTTGTAGGGGTGTCTTGGAAAGTTTGGAAAGGAAAGCGGGAAGTAGAAACGTTTCTCTGATAACTGTGGACTCAAAAAAAGGGGGACAGAAAGAGGGACTCTAAAAAAAGTAATTAGGTTGTATGATGTACATGTACCAATTTCCCACAAACAATGTAAACACTGCATAGTACACACGTACTAATAAAATAAAATTTTAAAATTTTTTCAAAGAAGCATATAACATCACAGGAAAATAAAAAGTACAGAAAATTACAAAAAATAGCCAAGATGTGAAAAGTAGAGTTTTCTCAGATTTACTTTAGATTATTTTTAAAATGCTAACTGTATTCAAGAAGAACATCTCCTTTTTAACATAAAATTTTGACATAAGCTAGTATGGGATGTTTTGAAAGTGATGCTGTTTATAGCATGTGGAGCCTCAAGAAAATATTTTCAGCGTAGCACAAATCAGCATAAACAGCAAGCCTTTCTATGCTGCAGGATACAGTATTTCTTTTCAGGTGAAAATTTCCTAATTTCCAAGGTATGCTACATCCCACTGTACCGCAAGGTGTGGGGGAGGAGCAAGTTGGGAGGGGGCAACGGTTGATGTATACCCTCCCTAGCAATCAGAAGAGGAGCATATACAGCCTCAACCCGGTGATTCTATTTGTGGACCCTTGGATTGGAGAGAACCAAGAGGAGTAAATGGCGGCGTGCGAAGGTGCACAGCTCATGAACAGCGGCAAGGGGACAGTAAGTGCATCAGCGTGGGGGTGGGGTGCTTTGGTAGCATTGGCAGCTACAAGCGGAGGGCCGGCTCGCCAGTGACGTGCACTCCTCACGTGACCCCGAGCCGCAGACCACTGCCGCTGCGGGTGCAGCCGTCACTCTCCTTTAGCTGCTAGCTCCCTGTTGCCCTGCTCCACAGCAGGGTGGTACTGGCCCCCGGAAAGCGGAGCAGGTAAGGGCCCCAGGGCCCGTGCCCCTCGGCGAGGCAGCAGCAACAACAACCTGCCCAGCTGGCGGTGAGTGCAGGAAAACGGAAAGGCTGGGCCCATAGCATTCTCCAAGATCCATCATGCTTGGACACATAGTGGTCCCCGGTGGTGGGGGTGCCAGGGCAGGTCGGGTTCCAGGGGGAGGGGCGGCAGAGTAACTAAACCGGGGAAGATTACCCTGATCTTAAAAGCTGCGGGGGACCTGGAGGGGAGCGGGAGATGGATGGAGACTCTGGGTTTGTGGGCTCTGGGAGAGGAGAGGAAGGGAGGCAGGGAGGGAGGGAAGGAAGGAGGAAGGGGGTAGGGGCAGTGCTGAGCGCTGGGCTGGTGCTGCTGGACTCTTCCCACCTCTGCAGGTCTACGTGGTCCAGGGCCAGGTCGTGCTCCTGGCAGGAAGACGAGAGGAGCCAAGGAGGAGACAAGGATAGGCCCAGGTCGGTGCGGGTGGAAGGGGGCGCGGGTGGAAGGGGGCGCGTATGGAAAGCCCAGTCCCCCCCCACCTCCCCCTGCTCTCCTTCCTTCCCTCTTCCCACCCCATTTCCGTCCTCCATTTTGGTGTCTGCAGAGCTCTGGGAAAGGAAAAATGGTGGGCTTTGGGGGAAGGAAAAAGAGAATTGGAAAGAAGGGACTCAAACTGGAGGCCCCCTACAGTGCATGTGAGCCTTCAAGATGGGGGAAAACCGGCATTTAAAAGGGGGGAAAAACGCTTTCTGATAAATATCAGGGCTCTTAAACCTGCTGGTCAGTGCACTAAGTATTCAGTTTTTCTCCTTGCCCTTGTCTAACTTGTGTTCAAAAAAAAAAAAAAAACCAGGAAAAAAAATCTCATCATGGTAAATATCCACCAGGAAAACGAAGAAATGGAGCAGCCTATGCAGAATAGAGAGGAAGACCACCCTTTGGGAGGAGGTGAAGGCCGCCAACCTGCAGGAAATAACAGACGACAGGCTCGCCGACTTGCCCCTAATTTTCGAAGGGCCATACCCAATAGGCAGATCAATGATGGGATGGGTGGAGATGGAGATGATATGGAAGTGTTCATGGAGGAGATGAGAGAAATCAGGAGAAAACTTAGGGAGCTGCAGTTGAGGAATTGTCTGCGTGTTCTTATGGGGGAGCTCTCCAATCACCATGACCATCATGATGAATTTTGCCTTATGCCCTGACTTCTATTTTCCGTGAGATTGATACTGTGATTCCTGCTATTTTCATTGCATTTTCCTAATATGCCTTTATTGATCCATTTGCTGTGAACCTTTTGTTATTTCCATGTGTCAGGTGGGTCTTATATGGCCAGCTTTGAATTGGAGATTGCTTTACATGCATCTAAATTTCTGTCAGCAGTAAAATTTTATATATTTGCATGAAAAAATGTGAAGTTAATAAAGCACTTAATAAGCAATGTATACATGTATTATCTCCTTTAAAATTATGTACATATAAATACAAGACATGAACCAAAAAACAATCAATACACTAGAATGTTACTTTGGGCACATATGTGTCTAGTAAGATGATAAGTTTTTTTTTATTTTCTGTTTATTATGGGGAGTATGAAAATAATTTTTCAACAAGTGTTTCTTGTGTAGTGTAGGTACATAACAACTACTGGTTCAAACGTGTGTGTGTGTGTGTGTGTGTGTGTGTGTGTGTGTGTGTTGCTGGGGATCAAACTCAGGGCTTTGTGCATGTAAGGCAAGAGCTGTACCCCTGAGTCACATCCTCAGCCCCTAAATTTGTTTTTTGAGTACCAGGAGTTGAACTCAGAACCTTGCATTTGCGAGGCAAGCACTTATTCCATTGAGGTATAAGGCCCAGTCTCTCCCCCCAAACAAAATTAAAAGTAGACACTCCCTTTGTTACAAATACATTCCTTTAAATGGTCCTTTTCTCTTTGGTGATACAGGGAGCAATGCTTGTCTTACAGGGCTGCTGAATGGCATTGACCGGGTGTAGACCTACATGGCTCTGCTTCCTGTCCCACCCCTCACCATTGAAAGGGACCCACATGCTTGCAGAGAACTAGAAGAAGCTCAATTTTCCCCCCTTTGGTGGAACTGGGGATTGAACTCAGGCCCTTGCACTTGCCAGGGAGGCGCTCATTCCACTGAGCCATCTCCCTGGCCCCAAGCTCAATTTATAATATGCTCTCCTCATGCCCACAAGTCCGTGCAAAAATGGGTGGGTGCCCCCGTGTTATTCCTCCTCTTGCTTGCAATTCTTCAGCTTCTGATTGTGTTAGACATGCATTCTCTTCTGCTGAGTTCTGTTTCTATTCTTTCTGGTGACATAATTATAGCCATTAAGATAGGTGAACCACATGGTTTTTCTGGGGTTCCTAAAGAGCCACATTTTCCCTGTGACCTCTGTATATCAGTGAAAAATGCTTTTGTTTACAATTTCAAATTCACATTTATCCAGCTGAGTACAAGTTCCATGGTTCTTGGGCTTACCTAGGTGTGTGACAGAATACTGTTTTCTGCTTTTGTTTTTATGTTCCGCCTCTTCAAAGAACTCAGAAACAAATGCCCTGGAGCCTGGCTCAGGAGATGCAGCAAGTTCTTTCACCAGATTGTAGCCAGAACTGTATTACAATGAAACTCCATAGCATAAATAAGCTGAAGCCTTTATTTTTGCCTGTTTCAGTCCTTTGTGTGGTTTTTCCCAAAGAAGACTTTTGCCAGGTCTTTTACTTACTTCCTTGTTGTTGGGACAAAATACCTAACACCCACAAGTTAAAAGAAGGAAGGTTTATTTTAACTCACAGTTTATTGAAGTTTCAGTCCATACTGGGCTGGCTCCAAAGCAGGGCAACCTGGTGAAGTGTAACGCAGAACGCAAACTGTTCATGGTGTGGCAAGCAGAAGGTAGGGAAGCAGCGGGCCTGCCTTTTGTTTTTACCCCATTTAGGCTACAATCTTATTGGAAGGTATTACCCGCACCCAGTGTGGTTGTTCCCATTATCCACACAAAGAATTACACTGCACCAATGAGTGGACTGATTTACTTAACACCCTTTAAGCCATATTCTGATGGCTTAGATTCTGCCACCTCTGAAAAGCCCCAATTATTAGTATATGAGGCTTTGGGGAGACATACAGATATAATCCGTAACAGCAGGAACTGCCTATCCAGTTTTACAGGTTTACCTAGGCATTATAAGTTACATTGCTAGAACTCATTTTTATTAAAGCTGAAGCCCTCCCCATCTACACCTGAAACATGATACTACTTTGTAAGCTCTTGGGAGCTATATTAAATATTTGACATATTTGAATTATGACTTATATGGAAATGTATATTCTGGAGCTGAGGAGATGGCTCAGTGCAATAAGCACTTGCCTGGCAAGCGCAGGGGCCTGAGTTCAATCCCCAGTTCCACAAAAAAAATAGAATGAAAGAAGAAAGAAAGAAAGAAAGAAAGAAAGAAAGAAAGAAAGAAA